GGGGACTGGAGCCCTCCCTGGGCTTAACTGGGGATCTGAAGCCCTCCCTGGGCTAAACAGGGAATCAGGAGTCCTCCCTGGGCTTAACTGAGGATCTGGAGCCCTCCCTGGGCTTAGCTGAAGATCTGGAGCCCTCCCTGGGCTTAACTGGGGATCTGGAGCCCTTCCTGGGCTCAACGGGGGATTTGGAGCCCTCCCCGGGCTCAACGGGGATCAGGAGCCCTCCCTGGGCTCGATGGGGGATCTGGAGCCCTTCCTGGGCTCAACGGGGGATTTGGAGCCCTCCCCAGGCTCAACGGGGGATCAGGAGCCCTCCTTGGGTTCGATGGGGGATCTGGAGCCCTTCCTGGGCTCAACGGGGGATTTGGAGCCCTCCCCGGGCTCGACGGGGGATCAGGAGCCCTCCCTGGGCGCGACGGGGGAACTAGGAAGCACTTACGAGGAGCTGGCACTGAAGGGTGCTCTGGAGGAGCAGGCACAGCAAGGCGCTTTCGAGTAGCTGGCACTGGAGCGAACTCAGGGGCTGGAGCCGACACTGGAGCGAGCTCTGGGGCTGGAGCCGACACTGGAGCGAGGTCTGGGGCTATGATGAAGGCAGAGAACAGTCCGTTTCTCCTCATCCTCCTCCTTTGGTTACGGGAGAACTGGGCAGCCGGCGGGCTTGTCGTTGCAGTGACCAGCGGGCTTGCGTCACCAGCGGCCAGCGGGCTTGAGTGAGCCGCGGCCGGCAGGCTTGACTTGGGAATGGGCGGCAGGCTGGACTTCCGATGGGCTATACTCGGGAACTGGATCCCTCCGTGGGCTATTCTCGGGAACAGGAGCCCATTCTGGGCTGGATTCGGGGACTGGGAAGCACTTACGAGGAGCTGGCACTGAAGGGTGCTCTGGAGGAGCAGGCACAGCAAGGCGCTTTCGAGTAGCTGGCACTGGAGCGAACTCAGGGGCTGGAGCCGACACTGGAGCGAGCTCTGGGGCTGGAGCCGACACTGGAGCGAGGTCTGGGGCTATGATGAAGGCAGAGAACAGTCCGTTTCTCCTCATCCTCCTCCTTTGGTTACGGGAGAACTGGGCAGCCGGCGGGCTTGTCGTTGCAGTGACCAGCGGGCTTGCGTCACCAGTGGCCAGCGGGCTTGAGTGAGCCGCGGCCGGCAGGCTTGACTTGGGAATGGCCGGCAGGCTGGACTTCCGAGCAGCCGGCGCTCCTGGGCTGAGGACCACGGTGGAGCTTCGGAGGACAGAGGGAAATTTGGGGTTGGGCAAGCGGTAGGAGCCGTTGGAGAGGTATGTGGAGGTTCTCTGCGTGGGGTGAGCTGGGGAGACGCGGCACGTTCCAGCGGGAGTTGGATGACGAGGCTTGGGAAATTTCTTTACTTCTTCAACTTCGAAATCTGAACTATTTAAGAACAGCACAAGATTAATCAGCTCGATAAGGGGAAAATCACACGTCGGAAGATCGCTGCGGATTATCTCGTCATCCAACCCCAGCAGGAAGCACACACCTAGAGCGGTGTCATGCCAGCTCACCCCACACCGAGAAACCCTCCACATATCGCTCCAACCTCAGACCGCCCTGCCGCAAACCTCACAGCGCGTCCTCAGCTGCAGTCATCTTTTTAGGTCCGGTACTCTGTCACGGTTGCACTACTGAGTGGAATGCGGAGCAAGGAACAGAGGGAGATGAGGAGTGCATCAATCCAGAGAACTTTAATTATAACAAGGAACAAGGAGAACTCACGTAGCACATGAAGACATAAATAATACCGGACACTGAACTGAAAACAGGGAACACTATTTAAACACATGACATGACGAGGGGATGACTAGACACACCTGGGGTCAATGGAACCTGGAATTAAATCAACATAATCAGGACAGGAACAGGAAACTAACCAAATATGGGCATAAACACTGGGACACAGGGAGCACATGGGGAACAAAACACAACACAAGCCTGACAAATACTAACATTAAAACTAAAACTAAGAATAATACTGAGTAATACTGAGCAGTAATGCAAATACTAATAATAAAACTAATACGAATAATAACAGTAGCACTAATATAAATAATAATAATACAATTCAAATTGATATTATTACTACTACAACTACTTATAAAATGAACAATAAAACTAGTACTACAAATAATACTAATACTAGCTGTAATATTATAATTGATACTATTACTACTAATACTACTATTAAAATACTAATACTAATAATACCATTAATATTAATACTATTCCTACTATTAATAATATTAATAAAATAAAATAAATACTAAGATTAATACTAAAATTAATATTAACAATACTAATACTTGTAATAAAAATAACAATTCTCTAATCTTTTTGTACTCTATTTGTTTTCTTTTTATTTATTATACAATTAACAAAAGCAAAAATACCTCTAACACTAGCTTGCTCTATTCTTTTTCTATTCTATCTGTTTTCTTTTTATATATTATATTATTTTAAAAAACCTTGCTGTGTGTACTGCGTTAAGCTAACTGAGACTTGTTATAGCACTTGTGTATCATTGCTCTTTTGTTGATTTTGATTGCTTCTATTCTCCTCATTTGTAAGTCACTTTGGATAAAAGCGTCTGCTAAATGATTAAATGTAAATGTAATACTAATACTCTTAATATTAATCATTTGGTTTTCTATAGCTCTTTTCCAGAGCTTAAAGCAGTAAACAAACACATCAACTGCATTAAACACAACCACACAATTTCTACCTAAATCTCAATTAAACGAATTTGCAGAGGAGACCCAAACTCAGTTCAGGGTCAGATTTTAAACAGCAGGGATGTATAAACAGTGATCAAACAAAAAAACAGGCGCAATCTGAAACCATCTCCATTATCCAACGAATGCAGCTTATTTACTTGAGATGAGAAGCAGTGCCTTTAAGAGCTGCGGCCTGTGACGCTACTCCCCACCTGATCCCTGAACTCTGTTTACACTATCAGGAATGAATCTGACGCACAAACCTCTCTCTCCACACGCTCAGTAACACCATGTGATGTGTGTGTGAGCTAAACTAACCCATCGTAATTCATGTAGATATCTGGGAAACTCCCGTTTATGGCCACATCAGATCCTGGCCAGAAGAACGTTCCCGCTTTCAGCCCCTGATACATGGCCGTGTTCCAGATCTGAGGTCAAAGGTCAGAGGTCAGTACAGGATGTCTGGGTCATGGATGTGTGTATGTTTGTTTGTGTGTTTACCGGTTGTCCCTGGTACCATCTGGGATTGTTTTTCTCACTGTTGGACAGACTGAAGGAGGCGTCGAACACAGGGTCGTACATGTTATTATCCACCAGCCCATGTGATTCGGCATACAGACCCTGAACACGACCACACATGACATCACTTCCTGCACACTCACACGCTTTTATCCAAAACACCTTACAAAAACAAAGCACTTCATCAACAAATGATCAGCATGATGCTGATAAACCTGTCTCGCTCAATCTCCTCATGTCTTCTGTCTCTGATTGAGTGTTTTCTCCAGTAAAAGCTCTTTTAGTGTAATTGTAGAAATGTCCAGCTTCAGCTGGAGCTTCTCGTGTCAGATCTGGACTGGTTTTGATCAAGTAAAGGTCAGAATAACTGCAGTAATATCTCCAGATGAACACTTACTGCACTGAAGCAGCTCAGCTTTACTTGATTCTCCATCAATCATGTTTTAGAGTCTCAAATCTGATCCTCAGGATCTTTTGAGGAGCGTTTGTTTCCAGAAGCTTTACTTTCACTGTTCCTCAGCGGAGGAATGATCTTCACAAGCCTCCAGAACATCTCACATCTTCTGAGGAGCCTTTATTTCTTCAGCTCTCAATCATTGCATTATATGTTTGGAGCATTTCACTCTCATCTTACTGAGACAGATTACTGCAGATATAGAGCCACGACTGATATTTATAGCATTTTGTGTCAGTATCTGCTGTACTGTTATAAAGATCTCATTGATTTACAGCACAAGCATCAGAATTTCATCATATACTGTAAATATCAGCATCTGCAAATTGCATATTTTTGCTCAGTTTGAGTCTTTGAATAAAACTGAGCTGTTTTTCCTTCATATTCTCACTGTATCAGACTATATGAGCCATATTCTTGAGAAGTTTCAGTCGGGGTTTAAATCACTGCACAGCACAGAAATCGCTCTTGTAAAAGTTCTTAATGATATTTATATGGCAACAGATTTGGGGAACTCTGTCCTCGGCTTTTGATACCGTCGATCACGCAATCCTTATCTCTCAGCTGGAGTATTGTGTTGGGCTAGGGGGGGGTGTATTAAGTTGGTATAAATCTTTTCTAACCAATAGACATTTCTCTGTAAAAATAGGACGTCTTCCTCTCTTCGCAATCTATCCTGTGGTGTGCCTCAAGGCTCTGTTTTAGCTCCTGTCCTTTTTTCTCTCTATCTTCTTTCTCCCTTTGGGTTCCATATTTAGGAAACATGTCGTCTCATTTCATTGCTATGCCGATGATATGCAAATCTATATGCCTGTGTCTAGGAAAAATAAGAGTGCTCTAGACAACCTAACAGCATGTCTTGAGGATGTGAAAGCTTGGCTTGCCAAGAATGTTCTTTTTCTGAACTCAGACAAAACAGAAGTCATAGTTTTTGACCCCTCAGAACTCAGGCCAAGAAATCACCTTGACCTTGAATCTTTAAATCAATTAATCTCTCCCCAAGTACGGAATCTAGGTGTGATGGTAGACAGCTGCCTCAAATTTGACAAGCAGATTAGCGCGGCCATTGGGTCCAGCGTTTTCTTTCTTCGTTCTCTATCAAAAATCAAATCCTTTCTTCCTAAGCGCTCCTTGGAGATTGTTAACCACGCTCTTATTACCTCTCCTCTGGATTATTGCAATTCCCTCTATTTTGGTATATCTAATTCCCAAACGGCACGCTTGCAGGTCGTTCAAAATGCTGCGGCGAGATTCCTGAAAGGAAATAAGAAATTTGATCACGCTACCCCCCTTCTGAGATCCCTTCACTGGCTTCCGATTAACTTTAGAATTGAGTTTTATTTATTAGAAATTTGATTACTGGTATATAAGTCATTAAATGACTTAGCACCTTCTTATTTGTGTCCCTGCAGCACAAAAGCAGTGTTAAGTCGCTGGGGGATATTTGTAGCAATAGCCAACAATACATTGTATGGGTCACAATTATACATTTCTCTTTTATGCCAAAAATCATTAGGATATTAAGTAAAAATCATGTTCCATGAAGATATTTTATAACTTTCCTACCATAAATATATCAAAACTTAATTTTTGATTAGCAATATGCATTGCTAAGAACTTCATTTGGACAACTTTAAAGATGATTTTCTCAATATTTAGATTTTTTTTGCACCCTCAGATTCCAGATTTTCAAATAGTTGCATCTCGGCCAAATATTGTCCTCTCCTAACAAACCATACATCAATGGAAGGCTTATTTATGCAGCTTTCAGATGATGTATAAATCTCAATTTCACAAAATTGACCCTTATGACTGGTTTTGTGCTCCAAAGTCACATTTGTCCGATCTACTTCACCTCTACTCCCCAACCAGAGGCCTTAGATCCAAAGATAAACTCCTCCTTCAGATACCCAAAACCTGGCTAAAATCGAGGGGTAACCGAGCCTTTGAAGTGGCCGGCCCGACACTGTGGAACAAGCTCCCACTCTATATTAGATCGGCTTCCACTTTGTCTGAGTTCAAGTCATGTCTCAAAACTTATTTATTCTCTGTTGCTTTTTGTTTATAAGAGTGTTCTGTTCTAACTGTTTTGCTGCTATTAGTGTATTTTATAAGAGTGTTCTGTTTTAACTGTTTTGCTGTTATTAGTGTACTTAATTTTTTATTTTATTCTAACTTGTACAGCACTTTGGTTTTTAAATGTGCTTTATAAATAAACTGAACTTGAACTTGATAGAATCTTGATTAGGGTTGCAAAAAGGTGGACAATTTCCAAAACTTTCCGTGATTTTTTGGAAACTTTTTGGAAAATGTCATGAATTTTCAGAGACTTTTGGAAAGTTTCCAGAAATGTTCTGGAAATTTTCCACCCCTTTGCATCCCAAATATGATACAAAACATAAAACATATGGAAATGTTTTGTAATATTTTGTCTAAAGGTGTTCAATTTCAAAAATCTTGATTTTTTTGGACTATTGCTTCAAATGTCAGTTAAAACGGCCAGTTTGAGCAGTTTCTGTGGTTTGCTTGCCCTTAATTTCATTATTCCACGATGAAAGACTGGCACCCAAGCGACAGTTCAAAAGGTAAAAAACTCTGGAGGAGAAGCGGTATTACAACCTCAGCAACCACAGACATTTGTATGCTCGCTCTAAATTTTTATTTACAGGTTTTGGCAAAGTACATCTGAGAAAGAGTGTGTTTATGTGACATGACTCACTGTGGCGATGGAGTAGTGGTTAGGGAATGTCTTACTGGGGAACACGGCCTGCATGAAGGGTGCTGATGTACCGCAGCGTCCTGGACACACACACACACAGCGTTTTACCGAGGATTACAGAGGATGAACATGTGTGTTTGTGTGTGTTTGACTCACTGATCTTGTCCAGCACTGGTACCACTGTATGCCACGACTGCAGATATTCAGCTCTCAAACCATCCAGAGAGACCAACAGCAGCGGCTGCCTCTTATAACTACACACACACACACACACACACACAGCAGAGATGATGATGTGAGCTCAATAACACTCAATTCTTCTTAAAAGGACAGTTCACCCAAATAATGAGAATCCTGTCAGCATTTACTCACCCTCATGTTGTTCCAAACCTGTATGAGGCTGCTGAAACACAAAAGAGGAATGTGGATAACCAAACAATTGACGGTGCCCATTGACTGCAATAGTAATGCAAATATACTGCAAAAGTCACTGGCTTCCAACAACTGCTTAGTAACCAACATTCTTCAAAATATTTTCTTTTGTGGTCAACAGGCTCATACAGGTTTGGAACACCATGAGGATGAGTAAATGATGACAGGATTCTCATTATGTGAGTGTTCTCCTCCTAAAAACAACATACACTGAGTGTCTCTGTATGGGTCAAAGATTCTTGAGAAAGTCATAGTAATCTATCAGTCATCAAAACAGCCAGAATTTAGTGGGAACTTTACCAATATCTAAATCAATATCTATACTAAATTGTCCCTAGCAATTATTTTGATCAAACAATTAAATATATGTGCATGTAACATTGTTGTTGTAATTTCGGCCGCATCTGAAATCGGTCACACCGTTGATATTACCCAAGAAGTTAAAGAAATACACTAGAAAACTGCACACATTTAAGAGATGTGTGGAGTGAGAACAAATAAGAGCAGAAGTGTTTCGGACACACGAGCACAGTTCAGCTGAATCTTTAACTTCATGCTGTTCTGCTGTTTTGTGTTCATTTGCTCTTTTTACATTGACTATCACTCTATATAGACTCATACGATCAGATACAACAATCATTTCTCAAATATTTATACTGATAAACTCAACATTCCCTGAACACTTTCAGACGATTTCCTATTGAACTCTCAGCAACTGAACTGCAGTGTCAAACTATTTCAAATATAGTCAATTAAGCTACAAACTCAATCATAAAGCACAATGTTTCCATCTAACATATATTTTTAATGGAGTGATTCACTAGTTAGCAGTAAACCGGTTACCTCACTTGAATCTGTTCTAGATTTGTGTTGGATGTTATCTTTGGAATGGAATTATGGATATTTTATTTGTAAACATCATACTTTTTTCATTTATTTCAGTTAATGTCATGAAACTATCGAGTTAAGCCAGTAGTAGAGCTGACAGTGTCGTGTAAAAATGACTGAAGATGAGAAAAGAGGAACAGACGAACCGATTCAATTGAGTGTGTCACTTACGCTGGAACCGCTCCGATTGATTCAAACTCGTGACTCTGATCATTCAGTTCAAGCGATTCACTAGCAAAAACCAGATCAAAAGAGCCATTCATTTGCGAATTTCGACATCGCTTGAAATGATTTTAAAAAGCACGTAGTGATGGTGAAAAAGAGCTTTTCGAAACAATCAACTAAACCACCATCGCAAAATAATTCACTGTTTTAAAGCGCTGCAATTGGATCACGTAATGGGTTTCAGATCGGCACTTCAGTGCGGGTTCACGAATCATTTGATTCAGATTGGGACTTCGGTGTGGGTTCACGAATCATTTGATTTAGACCGGACCGTCGGTGCAGATTCGGCGAATCATTTGATTCAGGTCGGGACTTCGGTGCGGGTTCGTGGATCATTTTATTTTAGAGCGGGACTTCGGTGTGGGTTCGCGAATCATTTGATTTAGACTGGACCTTCGGTGTGGGTTCGCAAATAATTTGATTTAGACCGGACCGTCGGTGCAGATTTGGCAAATCATTTGATTCAGGTCGGGACTTCGGTGCGGGTTCGCGAATCATTTGATTTAGACTGGACCGTCGGTGCGGGTTCGCGAATCATTTGATTTAGACTGGACCGTCGGTGCGGGTTCGCGAATCATTTGATTTAGACTGGACCGTCGGTGCGGGTTCGCGAATCATTTGATTTAGACTGGACCGTCGGTGCGGGTTCGCGAATCATTTGATTTAGACTGGACCGTCGGTGCGGGTTCGCGAATCATTTGATTTAGACTGGACCGTCGGTGCGGGTTCGCGAATCATTTGATTTAGACTGGACCGTCGGTGCGGGTTCGCGAATCATTTGATTTAGACTGGACCGTCGGTGCGGGTTCGCGAATCATTTGATTTAGACTGGACCGTCGGTGCGGGTTCGCGAATCATTTGATTTAGACTGGACCGTCGGTGCGGGTTCGCGAATCATTTGATTTAGACCGGACCGTCGGTGCAGATTTGGCAAATCATTTGATTCAGGTCGGGACTTCGGTGAGGGTTCACGAATCATTTGATTCAGATCGGGACTTCGGTGCGGGCTCGCGAATCATTTGATTTAGACTGGACCGTCGGTGCGGGTTCGCAAATCTTTTGATTTAGACTGGACCGTCGGTGCGGGTTCGCGAATCATTTGATTTAGACCGGACCTTCGGTGCGGGATCGCAAATCTTTTGATTTAGACTGAACCTTCGGTGAGGGTTCGCAAATCTTTTGATTTAGACCAGACCTTCGGTGCGGGATCGCAAATCTTTTGATTTAGGATGGACCCTTCGGTGCGGGTTCGCGAATCATTTGATTTAGACTGGACCTTCGGTGCGGGATCGCAAATCTTTTGATTTAGGATGGACCCTTCGGTGCGGGTTCGCGAATCATTTGATTTAGACTGGACCTTCGGTGCGGGATCGCAAATCTTTTGATTTAGGATGGACCCTTCGGTGCGGGTTCGCGAATCATTTGATTTAGACTGGACCTTCGGTGCGGGATCGCAAATCTTTTGATTTAGGATGGACCCTTCGGTGCGGGTTCGCGAATCATTTGATTTAGACTGGACCTTCGGTGCGGGATCGCAAATCTTTTGATTTAGGATGGACCCTTCGGTGCGGGTTCGCGAATCATTTGATTTAGACTGGACCTTCGGTGCGGGATCGCAAATCTTTTGATTTAGGATGGACCCTTCGGTGCGGGTTCGCGAATCATTTGATTTAGACTGGACCTTCGGTGCGGGATCGCAAATCTTTTGATTTAGGATGGACCCTTCGGTGCGGGTTCGCGAATCATTTGATTTAGACTGGACCTTCGGTGCGGGATCGCAAATCTTTTGATTTAGGATGGACCCTTCGGTGCGGGTTCGCGAATCATTTGATTTAGACTGGACCTTCGGTGCGGGATCGCAAATCTTTTGATTTAGGATGGACCCTTCGGTGCGGGTTCGCGAATCATTTGATTTAGACTGGACCTTCGGTGCGGGATCGCAAATCTTTTGATTTAGGATGGACCCTTCGGTGCGGGTTCGCGAATCATTTGATTTAGACTGGACCTTCGGTGCGGGATCGCAAATCTTTTGATTTAGGATGGACCCTTCGGTGCGGGTTCGCGAATCATTTGATTTAGACTGGACCTTCGGTGCGGGATCGCAAATCTTTTGATTTAGGATGGACCCTTCGGTGCGGGTTCGCGAATCATTTGATTTAGACTGGACCTTCGGTGCGGGATCGCAAATCTTTTGATTTAGGATGGACCCTTCGGTGCGGGTTCGCGAATCATTTGATTTAGACTGGACCTTCGGTGCGGGATCGCAAATCTTTTGATTTAGGATGGACCCTTCGGTGCGGGTTCGCGAATCATTTGATTTAGACTGGACCTTCGGTGCGGGATCGCAAATCTTTTGATTTAGGATGGACCCTTCGGTGCGGGTTCGCGAATCATTTGATTTAGACTGGACCTTCGGTGCGGGATCGCAAATCTTTTGATTTAGGATGGACCCTTCGGTGCGGGTTCGCGAATCATTTGATTTAGACTGGACCTTCGGTGCGGGATCGCAAATCTTTTGATTTAGGATGGACCCTTCGGTGCGGGTTCGCGAATCATTTGATTTAGACTGGACCTTCGGTGCGGGATCGCAAATCTTTTGATTTAGGATGGACCCTTCGGTGCGGGTTCGCGAATCATTTGATTTAGACTGGACCTTCGGTGCGGGATCGCAAATCTTTTGATTTAGGATGGACCCTTCGGTGCGGGTTCGCGAATCATTTGATTTAGACTGGACCTTCGGTGCGGGATCGCAAATCTTTTGATTTAGGATGGACCCTTCGGTGCGGGTTCGCGAATCATTTGATTTAGACTGGACCTTCGGTGCGGGATCGCAAATCTTTTGATTTAGGATGGACCCTTCGGTGCGGGTTCGCGAATCATTTGATTTAGACTGGACCTTCGGTGCGGGATCGCAAATCTTTTGATTTAGGATGGACCCTTCGGTGCGGGTTCGCGAATCATTTGATTTAGACTGGACCTTCGGTGCGGGATCGCAAATCTTTTGATTTAGGATGGACCCTTCGGTGCGGGTTCGCGAATCATTTGATTTAGACTGGACCTTCGGTGCGGGATCGCAAATCTTTTGATTTAGGATGGACCCTTCGGTGCGGGTTCGCGAATCATTTGATTTAGACTGGACCTTCGGTGCGGGATCGCAAATCTTTTGATTTAGACCAGACCTTCGGTGCGGGTTCACAAATAATTTGATTTAGACCGGACCGTCGGCGCAGATTTGGCAAATCATTTGATTCAGGTCGGGACTTCGGTGAGGGTTCGCAAATCATTTGATTCAGGTCGAGACTTCAGTGCGGGTTCACGAATCATTTGATTCAGATCGGGACTTCGGTGCGGGTTCGCGAATCATTTGATTTAGACTGGACCTTCGGTGCGGGTTCGCAAATCTTTTGATTTAGACCAGACCTTCGGTGCGGGTTCGCAAATAATTTGACTTAGACCGGACCGTCGGTGCAGATTTGGCAAATCATTTGATTCAGGTCGGGACTTTGGTGAGGGTTCGCAAATCATTTGATTCAGGTCGGGACTTCGGTGCGGGTTCACAAATCATTTGATTCAGATCGGGACTTCGGTGTGGGTTCGCGAATCATTGGATTTAGACTGGACCTTCGGTGCGGGTTCGCGAATCATTTGATTTAGACCGGACCGTCGGTGCAGATTCGGCGAATCATTTGATTCAGGTCGGGACTTCGGTGCGGGTTCGTGAATCATTTTATTTAGACCGGACCTTCGGTGTGGGTTCGCAAATAATTTAATTTAGACTGGACCGTCGGTGCAGATTTGGCAAATCATTTGATTCAGGTCGGGACTTCGGTGCGAGTTCGCGAATCATTTGATTTAGATCGGGACTTCGGAGCAGGTTCACGAATCATTTGTTTCAGATCGAAACTTCAGAGCGGGTTTGCGAATCATTTGATTTAGACTGGACCTTCGGTGCGGGAGTACTTTTCATTTCTTATTTGTGCATCCTCGTTTCCTTCCCTCACTTCATCCCTGTGTTAGAAGGATGCAAGGATTGGACGCGAGGATGGAGGAATCGAAGCAAGTGAACGGCAAATCCTCTGCTCTCTTCCAAGCGATATCTATTAATGATGAGTTTACATAAGAGCAGATTCATGAACACCTCTCCTCCGTTTGAACTCTTTAAAAGAAAAACAAAAGTATACACAAATACAAATACCTTAAGAAAATTAATTGTGGTAAAAGTGTAATAACCATGTTTTTTGTATAACCACAGTTTTACTACAAACACCATGGTTAAACATTGGTTAGTGTAGCAAAACCATGGTTAATTTGTGGTTACCATGGTTTAACTATAGTAACCACATGTTTTGTTTTTTTGGAGTAAAACCATAGTTAATTTTCTTAAGGGGTGTGTTGCCAGGTTAAAAAAAGTATTACATTTAGATAGATAGTTTCCATGTACTTGTCTAGATGATCAACTCTGAATAAAGAAAAGAGAGATTTAGAACCAGATTTTTGTTAGTTAAAATTAGTTAAAGTGCCCCTATTATGGATAAAAAAAAGACCTTTCATGCAGTGTATAATGTAAACAGACTGCAAAGTTGTAAAGCTGAAAGTGCATCATAAATAAAGTTAGTATGTCTCAAAAGAAAGAGTCGACTCTGAGTCATTATAAATTCAAATTTTCCTATGTTCTCGTTTGAGTAGTCAAACAATCCAAAGAAAACATCTCTAAAACAGAAAGAAAAGTCACTTACAAAACGAGTTCAGATGAACATTAAATAAATCTATCTGACCAAGAAGATCTTCCTCAGAAGAAACAGCAGCTCACTTCAGTGTCTGACTCATATTATAATCACATCCATAAGCTTTTGTGACATTTGGATGAACTCATAAATCTGTTGTTTGACCTCTTCATATTTAAAGAGAGGACTATAGTTTCCAAAGTCAGGCATCGTTGTGTTCTGATTTTCAGGGGTGTAGAGTTTAGTAGAGACGCTATGACATGTTCCTACTAGTATCAGAGACTAAATTATCTAATGATCAAACAATTAAATGTCTGTTGTCTGCCCGTTATGACCCCACCAATGCCAAAATCAAACCTACGCCCTTGAATTTTAACGCAACACGTGCTAAGAAATGTGTAGTTTATTCCAAGCACGTTTTCTGGGGAATGAGTGATGCCCCATTCACGAATGAATCGCTCTTTTTGAGTCGATTCTGTTCAAGGCCTCGATTAAACAAGTTGACAAAATGGTCTGAATTGGTTTGCGAATCCGTTTGAATCGTTTGTTCAGTTCCCTGCAAGCATTGAATCATCTGAAGCAGTTTCTCATTCATAACAGAAAATTAAAGAACACGGAGAACGTAAAGAGCATCTTGAAGTGGCCATGAACCTACAGCCAACTGAAACCATATCTGAAGATCCGAAGTAACTGGTAACTTTAAGGATTTTTTATTCTTACTGAAGTATTAAGATGATCACTTTTACTTGAGTAACTATTTGTACTCCCCCCCCCCAAAGTCAGGACAGTTTTTGGATACTCTACCCACCTATTTAGTGGTGTAGTGATTCATTCATGATTGATTCAGTGGTGTAGTGATTCACATGCTGAAGTCATGCTGCATATTCCAGTCTTTGCTCAATGAATGCAGCGTGTGAACTCTGATATACTGTAAAGCATCTTCTAACGTCATAATTTTCTCATCTACTTAATTTCTCTCTGATTTTATGAGTTTTAATGGGCTTTTCTTCATCAGTAACTGAATTCAAAGTTCAGTGCAGGTTTAGTTCAGTTCACTTTGATTTTGGTTCATTCAAGGCAGAAATTCTTTACAGTGTGTGATCATAAATGTGTGTGTGTGTGTGTTACCTGGCAGGGCATTTGGCAGTGCTCATGTCCACACACTCATCCTGAACCCACTCTGTGTCTCCTGCATCAGACACAGACACAGACACAGACACACACACACACACACACAGAGACACAGAGACACGCGCGCGCACACACACACACACACACACACACACACACACACACACACACACACACACACACAGAGGAATATTGGAAGATAAAAACATGAGATATTTGGACTTCAATGCATTTGTCGCTCTGACTACTGAACTGCACAAAAGATACTGGAGGCATTGTTTGATTTCATGAATTGTTCTCTGAAATTTACTTAGAAATGTTTTTCACTCAGCAATTGCTAGCAAATTTCACAATGACAAAGAAATAACGAGCAATAAATTGAATTAAACATGATTTTTCTTTTGGAGTAGAAAAACTGAAATAGTATTTTCTTGTCTCTACAAACTTATTTGCTGTGAGTGTAGTTCTGAGTGAAGTGTTTGAACAGAATGTGTGTGTGTGTGTGTGTGTGTGAGTGTGTGTGTGTTTCTGTCTGTGTGTGTGTGTGTCTGTCTGTGTGTGTGTGTGTGTGTGTGTGTGTGTGTCGGAGAGGGGTTCATGTAGCTCCGCCTACATTCTATAATCATTAAATACAGACGACCCCGTACTCTGAGTAAATACACTTCAAGCGATATCGACATCAACATGACCCAAGAAAA